CCAACTGTCTTACACCAGCAGAACTCATCTGATTGGCTGAAGCATCAGAGTAGGAATTGAGAACTTTTGCTAAACGGAAGTCACCAACATGTCCAACCATCTCGGCATCCAAGAGGACATTGGAAGGCTTTAGATCACAATGAACCATCAGTGTGGCATTGGTGATGAAGATAATCTAATGCGGAAGCAACATCTATAGTAACATTTATCCTCTGAACGAAATTCAATTTTTTTGTGCAGCCGTTTCCACCATCTTGCCTAGGATCAGGGTGCAGCCAACCATCTAGGCTTCTATTGACCATGTATTCATAAATTAAAGCCTTGAAATCATTACCCTGATAATCAACACCTGAGCATACCGTCGGTACCTTTAAAAGATTGTGGTGTCTGATGTTCCTAAAAGCCTCACACTCGTCTATGAAGCTCTTCAAAGTGCCATGGTGCAGTATATTCAGCACCTTTATGGAAACTATATTCTTATTCTCATGAAGTATCCCCTTTAAACAGATCCAAAACCACCAACACCAATCAATTTTTCTGAAGAGAAATTGTCTGCAGCATGCACAATTATTCCATAAGACACATTCAGACTTGAAGTGGAAACTGATTCCTTCCTCTTCCTTTTCAGCCGATAAACATACAGAGAAGCTAGAACAAGAGCTACGTCAAGAATCCCGAGAAAAATAAAGATGACGAGTTTCAATTTACGGACAAACTTCTTTGTTTGGGAAGCACCTAAAGAACATTTAGGGAGCTGAAATTCGGGCATTCCTCCACAGAGCTTGTCATTTCTGATCACAGAAGTGGCGCTCAAGTTCTTAAAGCTTCCTTCGATTGGTAGCATCCCTGCAAAATCATTATAAGATAAATCCAAAATTCTCAGGAAGTAAAACACCTCCAAGAATTTAGGAATTTCACCTGATAAATTGTTATTTTATAGATCTAGTTCCTTGATGCCTCTTAAAATGCCACACTTGTTAGGGAAAACACAAATGACCAAAGGTGCCGAACGGCTCTGATAAGAAAAAGCCACCACTGGAGTAGAGTTGTTTCGTTGGATGAGCATCCAGCACTCATGTAAGACTCGAAAAAGCGGCGTTGATGGTCAGAAGAGACTGAACAGTTTGCAACGAGGCATTGCGGAATTGAGTGGGGGAGAATGTCACGAACTGTGATTCTCTCGTACTCTCGTACCGTATTAATAGAGCTTGGGGTTATCGGGTGAAAAGTGAGTGATGCAGAAGAGATGAATACAACTGGATTGTAGAAATAGTGTCGGGACGTTGGTGCTAGGAGTTCTAGGATGGAAATAATATACTCTTAGGAGCTCTAAAGGCGGGGTTGGCTTTCCGTGCACAAACTATCGAGAGCTAATGTCACTCTCTTAATGAGGTCGTGGTAGGTCGAAACTAGTTGTGGTGCCTAAAGTATTCTGCATGTATTGATCGATGGATTGAAGGACTAGACACCCGAGCTTACCTGGGCGTGGTACGATCCGATAAAAGGAAGCTATTCGCCGTTTGTTCTTTAAAACAACTATAGAATGAGGGCTGACTTGGTGTGTACAACCCACCAGGCGCTACACGAGCTATTTCGCGGCCAAGGAACTACCAGCCCGTGACAAGATGGTATCAGATCAGGATCCCTCTACTAGGTCAGTTAAGCTGAATAAACCTATGGTCTACCCGGTCCTACGAGGGCGAAGAGTGAATCGCTGGCGCAAAAAGTGCTTAGATAAAGAGCAGCTCTTGACTAGCTTCTAAGATGACAATGGGGGCACATTAAAGAATCTCACTGAATAGGGAAAATGTTCTCGAATCAATTTGGCAAATCTCAAGATGGGTCTATTACCATGTTATCAACAAGGGGAAAAACCTTGATTGATCTGCCGAGATCATGAGAAATCGAAGTAGGCGAAGGATGGTGCTGCAAAAAAGGTGCAGTTGGCGAAAAATGCCACACTTGTCAAGGAAAGCATAAGTGACCGAAGGTGTTGAACGGCTTTGATCAGAAAAAGCCTTCATTGGAGTAGAGTTGTTTTGTTGGATGAGCGTCCACTACTGATGTAAGACTCGAAAAAGCGGCGTTGATGGTCAAAAGCGACGTAGGGAAGCGACTGAACAACCCGCAACGAGACGTTGCGAAATTGAGTGGGGGAGAATGTCATGGATGCCTTCGTACTCTTGTATCCTTGTGAGTGGAGCTTGGGGTTATTGAGTGAAGAGTGAGTGATGCAGAATGGATAAATACAATTGGGTCGTGGGAGTGATGTCAGGACGGATGGTGCTAGGAGTTCTAGGATGGAAATAATATATCCTTAGAGCTTTAAAGGCGGGGTTGGCCTTTCGTGCATAAACTGATCGGGACATGATGCCGCTCTCCTGATGAGGCTAGGTCGAAATCAATTGCGGTACCTAAAGTATTCTGCGTCTATCGCTTGATGGATCGATGGTCTAGACACCGAATTTAGTTGAACGTGGTACGATCTGATATGAGGAAGCTATTCGCTATATTGTTGTTTAGAACAACTATAGAATGAGAGCTAGCCTGGTGTGGACGACCCACTAGGCGCCGCACAAGCAATTTTGCGGCCAAGAAACTGCCGGCCCGTGACAGAAGCATGCTGGTTTAGTATTGTCTACGCACGTTTTAGTGATGTTGACATCTATTTTTAATTTAATTTGCCCAAAAATTATTTATTCAAATATTTAGGAATTAATTTTTTTAATTCCTAAAACAAAAAATATTTTTATTTAATTGCATTTCATATAGATATTAGGCACATTTGCATTAATAGGTTCTATTAGAATTTTTTTTAAAATTAATTAAAAAAAATTCGGATCGGATCGGATCGGGCCAGGTCGACCTGGCCCTCTCCTTTCCCCCCCCCCCCCCCCCACCGCGAGCCCAGCCCGCTCCCTTCTTCTCTTTCCCCCTCGCTGCTCGGCCTTTCCTCCTCTCTCCTCTGTCTTCCCTTGTAGCTGATCGCCGCCTGAGAAGTGCGGATAATCCGCTTGATTGCGCAAAAATGGCCACCAAAGTCATGGAGCAGAGTAGGCCGGTGCAGAGCCTTAAATGGATGACTTCCAGGGTAGGAAGCAGTGACCGGTAGCCACCATATAAGCCGGCTTAGAGAAGAGAGACGGTCGGCCACAGAGAGAGCAAAAAACAAAGCAGAGAGAGAGATCCAGAGAGAAACAAAGAGCAAAAAGAGAATCTTGAGTGTTTACAGGTTCTGAAGAGGAAGCCAGGCGAGCCTTCCAAACGATTGACATCGCCGGCAACCCCCCCAGATGCGCCTTCGACTGGTAAACCTTCTCTGCCCCTTTTATGCTCTGTTTTCCCCTATTTTTGTGTACAGGTTGGCCAGGACTCGCGTTAGTCGTTTCGCATAAGTCCTGGCCCATACTAACCCCATTCCCGATCTAGGCGTCGCCGTTGGAGGTGAGTTGTGGTCAACGGGGTTGGCGGGGCCCTGAAATAGGTCGGAGTTCCCCCGTTTTATTCATGCATGTCAACTGTTTGTTAAAATGCCTCAATGAGACCGGTTTGGTTTTGGTTTTCGCCGATGAGTATATGGTCGAACGGTGACTTAATTAATTCAGGGTAGTCTTGTGGCGATCATTAGGGACCAAGGAAAGCCAAATTTTGGCCTAGGTCCGCCGGCCAAGCTCCGACTAATGTTTGGGTTCAACGAGTCCTGTCGAGGCTTGGTCGGCGAGCACCTTGGTCGGTCCTCAGACGACTAGCAAGCAGGGATCTCTTTAGCTTGGGGAGCTGAAGAGAATGAAACCTTTGGCATGACGAAACAACAGGCAAATCGTCGGAATTTCGTCTGGTCAGAGGTCCTCGGTGCTGAGGCGTAATAAGCCCGACTGAACTAGCCCTGTTGGATCGGACCGGCCCAGTTGGACCGGCCATTTTTGTCTGTTTCGAACAGGCCGGGCTTGATTCGATTCGAAACCCGGTTCATTGGCCCGGGTTAGTCATGGCCCGATCCGGATCAGATAACCCAACCCGAATCAGCCAATTCAGGTCGATTTCATGGATCCGGGTCGGTTTTGACCAGACCCAAATCCAATGACTCGACTCGGAGCCGAATATTTTATTATTTTTAAAAAAATAAAAAAATAAATTAAAAATTTCAAAGTTTTTTTGTAATTTAAAAAAAAACATAAATTAGGAAATAGTTTGAAAATTAGTATTTTTAAATAAATTTCTAAATTATGTAAATTATTTTGATTAATAATTACGTCTAAGCCAGATAAGCTTATAGGGCTACACAGTAGGATTTTGAATTTTATTTTCACTACTGCGGTATTATTATGCATGTTATTTCTAATTAGTATATGATTGCATATATTGTAGTATGTTGATTGCCGTCTCCCTAGTTAGGATTAGAACCTTAGACTGCATGTTTATCTTGATTGCTAATCGTTAATGATTGTGCACTTGTTTAATCACCTCACATGTTAGGAGTTAGGTCCTAAAATTAATCTAAACTGCCTGAAAAAATATTTTTTTGAAATGAACTGGATAAAAGGTACTGAAAGGGCACTAGTTATTCAACTAGTGCAACCAAGTTCCTGAACTCATTTTATTTTTGGTTCGCAGAAGTAAAGCAATTTTTCTATTGCTTTACTTGGGTGTTTAATCGATCTACCGTAAACTGATTATTGGCGACTCCTAAATAAAAATCACTCGCTGATTAAAAACCTAAACCACAAGTCGTAATATGATGTGTGCTTGGGAGAGCCCACCTATACTTAGCACATACGCCATGTGAGACCTTTAGCTGAAGGTCGGTCGCGACAAGCGATATTATCCAGAGGAAGAGAATACACCTTTTCGTCTTCCTTGCATGCGCATGAAATATCAAACTAGAACGACAAAGATGATGACCAGTTCAGAACAAAACAATTAAAAAGATCTCATCTCTTTGGAAGCCTGTTTTCAGATTTTTCAAAACTTTGCAGATATTGGAATTGTGAGGTTACCATTGAACTCACCTCCAACCTTATCTTCTCATACATAAAAGAGTATGGTTTTCTCTTGCTGAGTACCGTGACAATTTCGGACTTCGGCTCCAAGAACACTGGCAACATGGCGTCCGCTTCGCTATCCTCGATAACACTTCAAAACATGAGCGCCCTGAAATCAACGATTATCCCCTCCTCTTCCCCCACAAAACCGTTACCGATGAACCTTAGTGTAATATTTATGTGCCGTCCAATAAGGAGTAAAGGAGTTAGATCGTTGGGTGTCGCGAGGTACGATGAAGTTGTGGTCGACGACGAAATTGACAAGATCCGGAGGCTCCAAAACGGGTCGGATGTGCGTGGTGTCGCACTGGAGGGCGAGAAGGGCCGGGAGGTGGACCTGACGCCGCCGGCGGTGGATGCGATCGCGGAGAGCTTCGGGGAGTGGGTGATCAAGGGCTTGGAGAGCGAAAATGGGAGGCCGGTCGAGGACGTTAGGGTTTCCCTTGGGAGGGACCCCAGGATTTCCGGCTCGGCGTTGAGTGTGGCTGTGTTTGCCGGGCTGTCCAGAGCCGGCTGCATGGTGTTCGACATGGGGCTTGCTACGACACCAGCTTGTTTCATGAGCACCGTGTTGGACCCGTTCTCTTACGATGCTTCCATTATGGTAGTGTAACGATGCGCGGTTAGCACTCTTTTTCTTATCAATTTGTTTTGATGTATTACGCCGTAAGGCATCTCTGCTACTTGTTTTTCATTTTCATAAAGACTCAAATTACAAGAGACCGGCGTAACATATATTAACCAGCATAGAAAGCTCTCTCTTTTTACTCTTGTTGATGAACCACTGAAGTTCGCAGGTCATTTTCAAACGGAAAATGAGACAACTGAGAATGCTTTTTGATGCCGCAGATGACAGCATCTCACTTGCCTTACACCCGGAACGGCCTGAAGTTCTTCACGAAGAAGGGAGGGCTGACCTCGCCGGAGGTGGAGGAGATATGCCACCAGGCCGCCCGCAAGTATGCGAATCGGCTGGCAAAGGTGTCGACCATGCTCGCCACTCCCCCAACCCGGGTCGACTTCATGAGCGCCTACGCAGCGTACCTCCGAGACATCATCAAGGAAAGAGTGAATCACCCCACGCACTATGACACGCCCCTCAAAGGCTTCCACGTAAATTATCTCGACTGAATTGCTTTTCCCTAATTTCCCATTAAAATAAATTTTCTTATAAACACAGTAACGTCTTCTGCATATAGATGCCCGTCAATGTCCTAAAAACAAAGGACTAGCCCATGTTGCAATGCTCTATCTTATCCAGTTCTTGTGGCCTTGATCCCTAGAGTTCTTTTTGTCCTCTCTACACAAACCTTTTGGTTGATATTTGAATTATCGCACTAGGTTAAATTCTGTACACAAATTCCTTATCTTGAAAAATACTCAGGCTTTGGTTTATCTATGAGTAAAAACAAAATTTAGCTTAGCCATTTGAATTCTGACACTGAGCCAGAATTTGCATATAGATCATAGTAAACGCTGGGAATGGCTCAGGAGGCTTCTTCACATGGGACGTGCTGGACAAGCTCGGCGCGGACACCTTCGGCTCGCTCCACCTCAACCCGGATGGCATGTTCCCCAGCCACATCCCGAACCCCGAGGACAAGACTGCCATGGCCCTCACTCGGGCCGCCGTCCTAGACTACTCGGTCGACCTCGGGATCGTCTTCGACACCGACGTGGACCGCAGCGGTGTGGTCGATGCTAAGGGCAACCCGGTCAACGGGGACAAGCTCATTGCCCTCATGTCCGCAATCGTCTTGAGGGAGCACCCAGGGACGACGGTGGTGACCGATGCTCGCACGAGCATGGCCCTCACGAAGTTTATTACGGATAGAGGAGGCCATCACTGCCTGTACCGGGTCGGTTATAGGAATGTCATCGATAAGGGGGTTCAGCTCAATAAGGACGGGGTCGAGGCTCATCTGATGATGGAAACGTCCGGCCACGGCGCACTCAAGGAGAATTATTTTCTTGATGACGGTAAGTTAGATTTCTATAGGTTTATTGATTTAGAGAGTCTGTTTTCGTCAATCCCTCCAACCATGTATCAGATTGGTGATTTACCAGCATGGAAATTACTCACTTATTAGTTAGTAACTTAATAAAAAAGTTGATAAATTAAAAAAAAAAAAATAAACTTTGGTAAGTAACTCAATTAAGAATTGGTAATACGTAAACCTATTTGGTAATTAAAACTGACAAAAGTTGTAATTCACTCTCATTTAGGTTGGTAGTTTCATGTAAAAGTTAGCGAATTCGAAGTGGTTAGTGAGTTATGCACAAAAAATTGGTGACTTGGTAAAATTTGGTTATTTTAAAACAACAAAAAAATGGGTAATCTCGTAAACATGTTGGTAAGTTTTTAACAAGTTGTCTTAAAAAAAATCACCGGTCATTCTATTTATCAACAGTTTTTGGCAGCTACCAACACCTACAGAAATTTAGCAACATGGACATATTCCGTATTTGTGCGTGTCATCGTCTACTTATGTTTGTCTAGTTTTCAAGGCTTGAGAAAGCCTATGCAAAGTGGTTTGCTTGTTTCCTTCGCGAACATGTCAATAGGAAAAGAAATTAAAACAACTGAAATACCATTTCGATAGCTTCAAATCACGATGGTGCTTATGAAATTTTTGTGTGCCATTTTCTTCAATGAATTGACATGGCTAGGCGCTTACATGGTCGTTAAAATCATCATCGAGATGGTACGGATGAAGCTCGCGGGATCTAACAACGGGATCGGCAATCTCATAGAAGATCTCGAAGAGCCATTAGAGTCCACGGAACTCAGGATGAATGTCATCGCGGAGCCTAGACATGCGAAAGCGAAGGCCGTAGAGGCGATCGAGGCATTTCGACAATACATTGAGGTACTAATTACACGGCGATTAAGTGCAGTGATCGTTAACCAAACCTCGCACAAGGAAATCCATTGATCCTAAAAGAACTAATGTTGGAGTTACTGTTTCTTTGCAGGAAGGGAGGCTTCAGGGATGGGAGCTGGATTCCTGTGGAGATTGCTGGGTGAGCGAAGGTTGCCTCGTCGACTCGAACGAAACGCCGGCGGCCATAGATGCTCAAATGTACCGGTACGACATCGATAACGATCGATTTTCTCACTTTTTTTTTAATTCAGATTGAGAATACAGGTAACCTTGTTTATTCGTAAATACATGGGAAAATTACCAAAAATGTTTTAAACCTATTATACTTGTGCCAATTTAATCCTAAACCTTTTAATTTGGCCAATTTTGTCCTAAACCTTTTGACAATTTAGTTCATTTGACCAATTTTGGCAGTCGCTGAGGTCGATGCTGAACGTCTTACATGGCATCACCGGTGCTGGTGTGACAATTTTTATAATATATATTTTTTTTATATTCTCTTTTATCTTTTCGATTTTCTTTTTCTTTTCTTTCTTTTTTTTCATTATGGGTGATGGTGAGGTTGTGCCTTGCCTGGCAACTGCTGAGGGTCGCCGGCGACCTCGTCGGCCACAATGAATTGAAAGGACTGCCGACATCTCCGTCAACGATTTCCCGCCAAAATTGGCCGAATGAACTGAATTGGAAAATTGTCAAAAAGTTTTGGGACTAAATTGATCAAATTAAAAGGTTTAGGACTGAATTGGCACGAGTACAATAGATTTATGATTTTTTTTTGGTAATTACCTTGTAAATACATACATAGATATATTTTCTTTTTTACACTAACGGTGTGCTTATTATGTGGTTATCTTCATTTGAAATTTAGGGCAAAGGTTTCCGACGAGGAAAATGGGCAATACGGTTGGGTACACCTCCGGCAGAGTATTCACAATCCGAATATTGCTGTCAATATGCAATCGACAGTGCCCGGAGGTTGTCGGTCCATGGCTGCAGTTCTTAGAGACAAGTATGTCACATAAATTTTTACGTATCCAAATATATCTAGCATGCCCTTATTATATTCGGAATTTCAATTCCTTCTCCGTTTTCGCTAATTAATTTCCTTGTTCTATTTGTCTTTCAGGTTTCTCCTTGCCAGCGGAATGAACAAGACCCTCGACATTAGTCAGATTGACAAATACTTAGGCAGTTAAAATTATTAATTATATGTGCCACTCCAGTAGAAGTTAATCATAGAAGTTGCTCGAGAAGACTATTTATTAAACGTATACAGGACACTTCATGTTGCATATACATTATTGTATATAGAACACACTTATTCCCTATTCCATTCTATGCTTGGGGCATCAAACTATCCAATCAACCTTCTTTACGCCAAAAAAGAACAAAGAAAAGGTTTATAGTTTATGGGCCCGTTTGGTTTGACTTTTCAAATGCTACTTGGAGGAATGTAAATACCTTTAGGTGAAAGCCACTTGGGGAAATGCAAGTGGCGTTTGGTAAAAAAATTTTTGTAAAGCTACTTTGGCCTAAGTAGTGTTTGGCAAATTTTTTTTTGCAAAGGGCTTTTGCAATTTTTATTTTTAATATTCCTATTTTGCCCTTGTTACTGTTCATCTTCTTTATCAAAATGTGACCGGCGAGGGCGAATCTGGCAGGCGAAGGGCCGACGAGGGGCCGGCGAGGTCGCACGACCCAGGCAAAGGCCGCCTGGGGTCGGGTGACGGCGCCTAGGCGGTCACACGACCCCAGGCGGCCTTCGCCTGGGTCGCGACCCAGGCCGACGTCGCCTGAGGTCGCGTGACCCAGGCGATCGCCCGACCCCAGGTGGCCTTCACCTGGGTCGGGCGACCTCGCCGGCCCGTCGCCGGCCAGATCTGCCCTCGTCGGCCCTTCGTCGGCCAGATCCGCCCTTGTTGGCCCTTCGTCGGCCATCCTCGCGGTAAAAAAGATGAACAGTAACAGGGACAAAACTGGAATATTGAAATTTGGTAAGGGCAATTTGAGAAGAGAAAAAAAGGCTTCAGCATTTGTGGAATGCTGAAAGCCCAAAGCTGGTCCGGACCAGCTTTGAGCTTTCGGCATTCCAAATGCTAGCTTTCGGCTTTTCGAACTCGGAAAGCTGAACCAAACGGTTCAGCATTTTGGGAAAGGGCTTTCGAGGCCAAAAGCCCCTTCCCAAAGCTGAACCAAACGGGGCTTATAAACTATGTAAACCAAGTCATATGAACTATTGATCATGTGAACCCCGTCGTGGGCTTTGCATAAGTACTAGTGTAGATAGAATTCCACATGATCTACAGATCATGCAGTATGAATTTGTCTCCTAGTTGTGATATTTGGTGTCTTCAAGGAAATAAGGTTAGTGCTATAGTTCTTTATTTTTCTTTGACAGATAAGACCATTGTCGTTGGAAGGAGTCATTTATTGGGTACCTCCAAAAGATCCGTTGTTCCTCAATAGCCAAGTGGAAGAGCGGTTGGCTGTCATAACGTCACGCCCCTCTCCTGCGTGGCAATGCCAAAGAAAATACTCCCTTACACTATAGTTAAGCTCAATACCAATCCAGAACCCCATCAAGCATCGTTGAACCGTCCACAATGGGGGAACGAACGAGAAGGCAAAGTAACCATCTTTCCGGGTAGGATAAAGGCAATTGAAGCAATGAACCTTCCAGTAAATTTATGTGTGTGTGTGACGTCCATATTTGTAAGTCATTAAACAGATGCTTGGTTGGAGAAACCCTTTAGCAATATGAGCATGGTCAACCTAACTGAAACGGCCACATCTATGTGATATAAGTGCTTAGATTCGATAAAGGGCCATTCCATTTATGATAAGTGGAAATTTTCTCCAAATTAGTCTTTTGATTAGTAGGTTATAAACATATATATCATCTATATTTGTTTTCTGTTAATTATGTTTGCATGTGGCAATATTCAAATTTGTGACCCGTAAATTAGAAATTTTTTGTCTAATTAGAGACGGAGGAAAAAACATTCTTTGATGATCAAAATAATGCCGTGTGGGCAAGACAGACACACAATTAGTTGACCAAATCTTTTCTATATATTCATAAACAATTACCTAATCTAAATATCTCGTAGGCATAGATGACACAGAGGAATATATACTTGAAAAGAGTTCCAAAGGATAATATTTATTCCGAATGAAAAAGTACGGTTTACCATGTTTTAGGTGTCTATTTATTGGGAGGACACTCTTTAGGAAACAATCAAATAACAGAATTAAGGAAAAAATATTGATAAAAAGGATAATCTTCGAAATGCGTCCCGAAAATTTGCAAAACACGTCCGAAATCTTTGAATGCTCGAAAATCCTGTTTGAAGCTTCGAAGATCTCGCAATCCTTTTTGATTTGATATGTTGTATGCGTCATAACTCATTCCGAATAAAAAGTTATGAGTTTGAAGTTAACCCGTCATTTAAGGCGTGGGTAGAACCGCTCGCTCTTATAACGCTTAAAGTTTCCATATAAGCATTTGCCAATTGTTCTCCATCAATAGAGCATTATCATATTTGGAATAATTAACCACTTGAGACTTGATAATTGACATATTGCATTATTTATGCACTAAATATGCCCTGTCGTTATCATCCTATATTAAATATCAACATATCTCCATAAATTTCAACTTTGTAATTCTTAGCCCATAGTACCACGTGATTCACGACTCTTCCACCATCATGTTCATAGGTGGTAGCACCATTCATTTAGAAGTTAATTAAGACCCGGTAACTTAATCGGAGAAAAGTAAAAAAAAAGTGGGCAAAGTCACTCCAATTAAGGTTAGTAACTTTAACAAAAGGTTGGTAAATTTAAGGTTTTACAAGGATATGCAACTAAAAGTTTGTCAACAATAATGGCTATTAGGAAAAACTAAATAAACGTAAGTAAGTAACTCAAATGAAATTTAGTAACCTAGATGATAATTGAATTTTCCTTTTTCCACTTAGTAAAGGCAGCTAGGTTCAACACACACACTCTCTCTCTCTCTCTCGGAGTTTCAACCTACGCTTCTTCAACTTATGGAGAGGAGGGATTTGACCTAAATCTCTCCCTCTCCTCCCAATCTGGTTGCTTTGCCTTCTATTTTCTCTTGTTTTTTTTCCTCTACTCTCTCAATCTAGATCTAAATTTGGGAGTTCTGCTCTTCCAATCTTAAACTAGATTTTGGAGTTTTTCTCTCCTGATCTAGTCCAAAATCTATGAATTTTAATGGGGAAAAGTGCCAAAAAAGTCCTAAACCTTTTGCATTAGTGCCAATTTAGTCCTAAATCTTTTTTTGGTGCCAATTCAGTCCTAAACCTTTTGCATTGGTGCCAATTTAGTCCTAAACCTTTTTTTAGTGCCAATTAAGTCCTAAACCTTTTAAATTGATGTCAATTCAGTCCTAAACTTTTTATTTTTGTGCCAATTTAGTCATTCCGGTCAATTTTGACCGGAATTTGCTGACGTGGATGCCTGCCGGCCGGTCACCGGCGCCGACGTGGCGCTGACGTGGATAAATTAAATAATATTTTCATATTTTTTTGAATTTTTATTTTTTTTCTTTTTTTTTCCACTTTTTTTTTTGGTTTCTTCTTCATCTGGAGGCCAGTGGCCGGCGAGCTCGACTTCGCCGGCCACTGGGGGCGGCGGCCTCGCCCTGCGAGGCCGAGCCTCGCCATGGTTGGGCGAGGCCCGACCTCGTCCGGATTTGGCGAGGTCGAGCCTCGCCCAGCGCGCCGGCGAGGCTCGACCTCGCCGGATCTCGCGAGGTCGGGCCTCGCCCGACCATGGCGAGGCTTGAGCCCTCGCCGGAGGCCGCGGCGAGGGCGAGCCTCGCCATGGTCGGGCGAGGCCCGACCTCGCCGGATCCGGCGAGGTCGAGCCTCGCCGCGCGGCTGGGCGAGGCCCGACCTCGCCGGATCGGCGAGGTCAAGCCTCGCCGGCGGCCGGGCGAGGCCCGACCTCGCGATCCGGCGAGGTCGCCGTCCCCAGTGGCCGGCGAGGTCGAGCTCGCCGGCCAGATGAAGAAGAAACCAAAAAAAAAAGTGGAAAAAAAAGAAAAAAAGGAAAAAAAATAAAAATTCAAAAAAATATTACAATATTATTTAATTTGTCCACGTCGCCACGTCAGCGCGGCCAGACTGGCCACTGGCCTCAGCAGTGTCCACGTCAGCAAATTCGGTCAAAATTGACCGGAAGGACTAAATTGGCACAAAAACAAAAGGTTTAGGACTGAATTGGCACCAATTTAAAAGGTTTAGGACTTAATTGGCACCAAAAAAAGGTTTAGGACTGAATTGGCACCAAAAAAAGGTTTAGGACTACCAAAAAAAGGTTTAGGACTAAATTGGCACTAATGCAAAAGGTTTAGGACTTTTGAGGCACTTTTCCCAATTTTAATGAATAAGTATCCCGCCTCCAAGTTCAATGGTGTTCACAGCAGCTTTAGTGTCACATTTGTGATCATTTAGCATGTTTTTGTTAAAAGCTCTGGCGTCTCGCACTTGCTAAAGGGCTCTCTCCCGCAAGTGTCAAATGTGAGCTTGTTCAACATGTTTTTGTTATTTCCATAAAGTGATGGTGCTGGAGATGCCAAATCTAGGCGCACACTATCGAGAAGCAAAGTTGTAGCTGCAGATGGACATCTTGGCTTATGCTCATCATTGATGATGATGTATGATCCGGTGATCGGCTGCTGATCCTTTTGCTTGGGTGCAGTCATATCTATTCTTAAAAGATGAGCTTGTGCTTACCTTTGCCGATCATGCTGTGATGATATACCTTGATTTTTGGATTTTGGTTTGCTTTGTATCTCTATAAGCTTGCTTTGTTGTGTTGATTTATGAGATTTCCCATAGATTTTTTCACGTATCATTTTGGTAGTAGATGGAAATTTCCTTCAACAAAAAAAACCTAGATGATAATTTAATGGGAAAAAAGTTAGTAAGTCATGCCAATTTAGACCAATAATCTCTAAAAAGAGTTAAAATTTATATACGGGATTGCTAATCAAGGTAAATAAAAGTTGGTAGCTCAATAGAAAAGTTGGTAAATTAAAAGAAAATTAAAAGTTGGTTAGTAACTCAAACAAAAATTGATAACTTAAATTTACTTGACAATTAAATCTGACAAAAGTTGATAGACCACTCTAATTTGAGTTGGTAACTTCGCATAAGAGTTACTATATTCGAAGCTTAGTAAGTTATATAAATAAAGCTGGTAAGTTGCTACCAAAATTGGTAATTCGCAAATTACAAAAAAATTATTAGTACAGCAAGTTGCTTGGAAAAAAAAATCGGCGGTCATCTATTTTACTGACAGTCGTTTGACATTTACCAGCACTAATCGAAATTTACTAGTATGGGAAAAAAATCAATATTTTTAGACACGGTGCTATGAAGTTATGTTTGGTCGAGAATAGAGGCTGCACCCGTGAATAATGCGTCGTCGTCGTCGTCACTTCCAACGAAGCTGTTGATTCTTTGGAACAGAAGCACGCAGCGAATATATGCACAATAAGCACGCGACGAACTTTATTTAGCTTGGCAATAGATAAGATTACACATCGAACACAATATTGACACAAGCACACCCACACGCACGGTGTAATCAAGTGAAGATCCTCTTCTGTGGCTGCGTTTCTCTCGTGCACGCAGCAGTGCGAAGACGCCCGCTTCACGCGTTGAGCAGATGAGCATCGACGTCTTTAGTGATCTTGACGATGGCGTCGGTGTAGCTTTTAGGTTCAGCAACGGCTTCATTCAGCTTCTCGTAGTCGAGGGTCCACTTCACCGTGCTCCCGCTGCCGTCAGCTTTCGCAGTTGCTTGCCCAGTGGCCTTGAAGCCCTTGAACTCCTTCAGTATATCTCCTTCCATAATATTAAACGTGATCGACTTGTTCTCATCGTCTACTTCGACCTTCTCCTTCACCGTCAACGCCTTCCCATCTGCAATTTCCAGATTTGATCGAGCCAATTTACTAGATTCTGTTAGCCTCTCAGCGAAACTGAATATACTAGGTCTCAACCTGGTATCAGTACAAGGGTCGAGGATTATATTGGCCACTCTGTTAATCCTACATATGTATATATATATACGCTCATAACTTTTCTACCGAGACACAAATCGAGACAAAGAGATCTCATACAAGTAGGATCGTTTTAAGGTCAAGCGATTGCTTCTGTGACTCGTCCACAAGATGAAACTCGGAGTTGGCGGAATTTACCAGATTGAGCAGCGAAAGTTTTTTGGGGCGATTAATAGATGAGTGGGCGTTTCGAGATGGTGTACCTACCTAGGGTGTAGTTCCAATGCTTGACTGCGTCGCTTGAGCTCCAGTCGCCCTCATGGAGCTCCACCTTTTGGATAATATCGGAGGAAATGGTGGGGAGGTGGTAGATTTGGCTCTTGAAGAGGTTGTAGAACTCATCTGCGGATGATTGGATGTCGATTTCGACCTCCAGCTTCCCCTCTAGACTCATGGTTTTTGTAGCGAAGATGACAGAATTGTCACACCCGAGTCAAGAATCAAGATTCCGGACACCAAACTTGTGCCGTTTTAAGAAGCGAGAATATAATGCTACACTTGGCTTGAGCTGTGTATATATAGAGAAAATGTAGAACGATCATAATCCACGCCCAGAAGTATATTATGAATTAAGGAAGCATTTATTTCGTGAAAAATTAATGATTTGATAAATATTTTTCTGAAAATGATAGCTTGTATTGTCTATTTTTGAGAAATGATTAACTAACGGTTCTTAATCTATTGTCAGAATAACATCATGTTTCGGACCACAAAAAAATAAAATAAATAATTATAAATTATTGTGGAGCCTATCTCTTTAAAAATTTATGGTTCACAATATACTTTTACTCTTATAATGGCTCTAATACTGTTACGCTAGAAAAGTCCAAATATAAACCTAGCACCTCTCACTTATGTATGGGCTGCTTAGCGTGTGGCCCTAGGCCGCTGGACCACAGATTCACCTTTGCGACTTTCTTACCACAGATAATATATAGAAAGCAAATAAAAGAAGCCGAGGTTTATCATCCCGAATTGACGCGTGGCGAGCTCGGAGAGTCTTTTGAGGTTTAACGCTTCGGTGCTTTGAGGATGTACGAGCATATGATGACGGAACTAGCAAACACCCCTGCTTCTTTCCTTGACGACCGGCGAAGGTGAAGCCAAGGTCGGGTGGGTGGCTCGGCTTCGACGATGGAGTGCCGGAGAGAGACCAGAGATGGGGCTCATAGAAAGATGACGATGACAACGGCAATCGACGACATAGCCATGGCACTATAGTCTAGAGACGACGAGGGAGGCCATTGGTGGCGGCCTACGTGAGGGCAGGAAAGAGAAAGAGAAAGAGAGGGGAGATAAAATAATTAGGGTTTTGAGGATTGGGATATTTGTTAGGGTGTCTTAATGGATCATAAACATTAGATTAGATTTACTAGTAGGTGATGGAGATGGACAAAAAATGAGCATCAAACGTGTGAGCAACAACATTGATTATACTACTTAATATAAAATTGATTTAGGGGTGCTAATCGTCATGTATTTAATCAAGGTGAGCGTGCCATCTAACATTAGTGTTACTTAAGAGTTGATTTGTTTTGTTGTCGCTTTTTCTCCATATATCATTTCAATTTAATAAATCTTCTCTTGCCCTGCATGTGATTCACGACGTCAACGTGTAGCTTATTTATAGGTTGTAGATAGATTCATCAAACAAAGGTCGCGTCGGGACGAAAATGTTTCGACCTAAATTGACTCATATTCATGCAATATAAATTTGGTGATCTAGTGTCCTTATGCCGAGATTACTGTTACAACTTTATGTTGTCAAAAGACATTATACTTAAAAATCCAACGAAAAAACATTGGGTCCGATCAATTATGTCAACCTAACAAAGGACAATCATCCCTCTGCTAAGCATTATAAAATGCGAAAACAGATTCTTTATTTGTTATGATGTACAGCTCTTCGCTGAAAAGTAACTGGCTTCCTACGTGTCAGCAGTATGTTTATTACATTTTAGTCCCCATCGTACAATTAGAAGTAGGTTTCCTTTAGGCTTATTTTAGAGTACCTACTGCCTGGGCTCATTAAAAAATAGCAATTTGCTGTGAAAAAATTGCAATCCCGAGCATATAAAATACACAGATATGCATTATCTCAAATAATAGAGGACTTTAAGCTCGGGAAAGTTTATTTAGTAGTGCATTATTTTCCACATGACTGTGCGTGACGTAAGCTAGTAAGTAGAGTGAACGAGTTTACATTGTGGAACCAGAATTAGGGACATCAGACAACATATAAAATGATGTATTGAAACATTTGATTTTCAAGCTTTGGATTCAAAAGCTATACCGAAGTTCTTAACGGTAATTAATAATGTGATGATAATAAATTTGACAAGATAATGCATGCTGAGCTTCGACGTTAATAAATTCGACAAGATAATGCACTTGACTATATTACGTCAAAAGTATGCGGAAGTACTTTCTTTATGATATTGCTATGTGTGGGCTGTCTCTTGATATGTTACTAAATCGTATCTATTAATTAGAAAAAAAGTGTATCGAAGGAAAGTGAAACTTAAGCAAATGCAGGGGATGAGCTTTGTTTGTATAATTAATCCGTTCTCCTTATCTATAGACAATTTCATATAAGCTCGAGACCCCGTAATTCGATCTTAATTTCATATATATAAAACATATATAATTATTTGCAGAATATAAGGATATAATTATATATGTTAACAATTCTTTATTAGATTAAAAAGTTAACAAAGGCAATCAACTTGAATTAGGAATGCTTTATCCATTTCAGAGAGCATTTTCCTAATCAAGTAAATCTTACTCCTCCCAAATTTTTTACTTATCGATTCAACTTTGATCACGTGTTTGAATACTAGTATGTGTATGTGTAAGTGTGTGTGTATGGGACCCTTCTTTTATGGACGTGAATAATTTTTTGCATAAACCGTTACTTATCCACTCGATGCATGTGAACCCTTAGATACCGCGAATTGTATATGCATGGAATTCGGGACACACGAATCCTGCCGAAAGAAACTTTGAACTTTTCTGTCGAAAATTTGAAGATTTAATTTTGAATCCTTAAACAAACATCAATAACTTTTGACCCCGCACTATTAATATTCTAAACAAATAAGATTCGCAAATCTACCATTTTCTATAAAGCATGTGTTGCGGTGTCATCCACAATCTTCTCTTTAAGTATTGCGCTATTGTGATTCGTCGAACCATAATCGTGACATTTATATATTTGGATTTGGACGTCAGGTCCAATCTAAGTTTTAAAATTGCAATTAGGTAGAAGTTGATGTTATCTTCTTGGTCGATTGTTTTTATTTTTCCATTTCATAACGATTCATTTGATGTTTGCGGATGCGCAACGATCTTTGTAGTTGTTTTTTCTATCTGCTATCTTGTTTCGATTGCTAGCACCTATCACCATCGTTAATCCATAATCGGCGGATATCATTTCAAGGATATGAGATTGACATTTCTAGTATATATTCGATTAAAAGATATGACGATGAGACGGGGACTAATCTTGTAATTACAATTGTGCCCTGGACGATACGGATCCACTTTTGAAAACGTATGAAATTCGTTTTATACTTTCTATGTAACTTTGAATTACATGAGAAGCCACCTCCAAATGACAGTTGTCGTATGGCATGGGCACGACTGTCTCTATCATGAAGATATAAAACGATTCCTCGTTTTGTATACTTTTTAGACTCAGACATTTGCAAAGGTTTAAATAGGTGTGATTTATGTTTAATTAAATATATGTTTCTTTGGGTTGACACTCAATACCCAAAGTTTGAATTGTACACAAAAAAACAAAAAAAACAGAGAGCACAAGGTGTTCAAGTTAACTAGGCAAGCCATTTCTACCGCTTGTGTTTTTTGGTGGACAAGTAATTTGGAGTGCCCAACCAAAGAGTGAAGTTGTGTTTTGGAATGTCATGAGTACTTGACATTATTTTATTGGACGATTCTACTGTCCCAATAAACAAAAAAAAATGGATTTGTTTTAGTCGAAGGTAGATTTGAGTTTGTAAATGTCAAAATTTTTTGGTAAAAGAAGTCACAGATCATCTGATTACCCAATAATTTGTTGGTCACTTAGGGTGCGTTTAGCAATCATTATGTTCCTAGAAACAATTTCTGTTCAGAAATGATTTTTTTTTGATTCTGTATCCGGGAACAATTTCTAAGCATTTGAAAGTGTTTGGTAACTACTTAAAATTTCTATTCTTGGAATGGAAAAAGAACAGAAATGCGTTTGGTAACTACATAAAATTTCTTTTTATTAATAATATTTTGAATATTTTAATATTTCTTTTTTTTTTATTTTTCTACTTCTTCCCCTTCCTTGGCCATGGCCAAGTTGCCGGCGCTGGCGAGGACTTAAAGGGACCGATTTGAAAAATTTTAGGATGCATTTTTGAAATTTTTAGAACTCAATTGCACTTTTGTGACAAGTTTTAAGACTTACATCGCATTTATCCTTTTATTCTATTTAGTACTTGATTAATTTTTAAATGTTTAATCTAGTCCTTAAACCTTTGAATTGGCTCAATCTAGTCCCTCACAAATCAAACAAGTCCTTTTGTACTATTCACAAGTTAACATAATTACACTATTGCCCAGATTTAATAATATCATTTCATTTCAATCCATTTCCTAAATCAACAAAAAGTAAATGTTATCTTTTTATTACTTTTTTCTATCTTTTTGGTCTTTATACATCTATCGATACTTCAAAGTAAGTATATTTTAACTTATGATCTCTATAATAGCAAAAGTATAACGGATTTATATCGAGTTGATATAACTGCTGTTTTAAGAATGGGTGTTTTCATAAGGCTATCTAAAAATGGTATTAGTTTATCTATATATAATCATACTTTTATTAATCTAAGTTTTGTTTTTAATTTTTGAGAAAATACCACCAAAAACCCCAAACTATACCACTTGTGACAAATTTACCCTAAACTTTTCTTTGTGACACAAAAAATCTCAAACTATACCACTTGTGACAAATTTACCCTGAACTTTTTTTTGTGACACGAAAAATCCCAAACTATGCCACTTGTGACACATTTACTCCATAATACTTTGGTCCATGGACATTTTCGTCTTTTTCCTTTTTCTATTTTTTTTCTTTTTTTATTCTTTTCTTCTCTTTCCCTCCACCGGCCATGGCAGAGGGAAGCCGGCGAGGGCGGCCCTCGCCGGCGCTGGGGTTGGGCGAGGGCGACCCTCGCCGGTGTTGGGCGAGGGCGATGCGTCGGGCGAGAGTCGCCCTCGCTTGGGTGGGCGAGGGCAACCCTCGCCCAACCCTAGCACCGGCAAGGGTAGCCCTCGCCGATGGAGGGAAGAAAGAAGAAAAGAAAAAAAAGGAAAAAAAACAGAAAAAGGAAAAAGACGAAAATGCCCATGGGCCAAAATATTGTGAGGTAAATGTGTCACAAGTGGCATAGTTTTGGG